TGCCTTGGCCTCCCTAAGTGCTAGGATTACAGGCGTGAGCCACCATGCCTGGTCCTGGTTTCATATCTTACTCAGAGAAGTCAACATAAGTGCTTTGTCTTTTTACAGTTAAAACAAACAAAAAAGATTGCCTGGTAGAGAATTGACTTTCCATATTTATCTTAACTTTGTAGATTTTCAAAGAAACTGCTAAACAAAGTAAACCCAAGATCATTTTTCCCCAGAGCAAGAGAAGGGCTTTTGTTAACCCTTTCCTTTTAATGATTAGATGGAGAAAAACTTGAATTCATACCTCATACTATATCCAAAAATTAATTCCAATTAAATTTAGGACCTAAATGTAAATGATACAACTATAAAACTGATAGAACAAGATCTAAGGCCAGGCGTGGTGGCTCACACCTGTAATCCCAGCACTTTGGGAGGTCAAGGCAGGTGGATCACCTAAGGTCAGGAATTTGAGACCAGCCTAGCCAACAATGGAGAAACCCCATCTCTACTAAAAATACAAAAATTGGCCGGGAGCAGTGCCTCACGCCTGTAGTCCCAGCACTTTGGGAGGCCAAGGCGGGTAGATTACAAGGTCAGGAGATCAAGACCATTCTTGCTAACATGGTGAAACCTGTCTCTACTAAAAATACAAAAAAAAATTAGCTGGGCATGGTGGCGGGCGACTGTAGTCCCAGCTACTTGGGAGACTGAGGCAGGAGAATTACTTGAACTCGGGAGGTGGAGGTTGCAGTAAGTGGAGATCGCGCCACTGCACTCCAGCCTGGGAGACTCCGCCTCAAAAACAAAGCAAAACACAACAAAAATTAGCTGGGCATAGTGGAGGTGCCTGTAATCCCAGCTATATGGGAGGCTGAGGCAGGAGAATCACTGGAACTCGCGAGAAGGAGGTTGCAGTGGGACAAGACTGCGCCGTTGCACGCCAGCCTGAGCAACAAGAGGGAAACTGTGTCTCAAAAAAAAAAAGAACAAGACCTGAAAAACATAAACCACTGGAGGGATTTCTATTCTATGAAAAACAACAAAGACAAGAATGAACAAATGTCATTTTTTTTTTTTTTTTTTGAGACAGAGTTTCACTCAT